GATGGAAGTCACCTTAGTCAATGTGATGGAGACTCCCACGCGCTGCATAGCTTTCTCGATCCGGTCAGGGATGCTCAGGGACTAGTCGGTCGCATCGGAGGCCCCGGAGATGACGAAAGCATCGTCGATGCCAATGCCCACGAGAATGAAAGGGAGGATCTGCTGCAGCACTGTGAATGGAACTCCGATCAGCATGGAAGTGCCGTAACCAGCGATGCACCCGAAGAGTACCAGGAAGAACTCGACTTGTCCCAGCAGCCTTCTGCTCTGTGTCCACGATGCTGTCTTGCCCAGGAAGATCGAGCAGAAAGTTGCCATCACCACAAAAGCGATGGCGAAAAGTGGAATGTCCGCTCGAACTGTTCTGTTCAGTTCGTCGTCCATGGAGCGTTGCGCCTGCACAAAGGCATTCACGTTCTCGTAGCCTTGATTGGTGAGCTGGTCCTTGGTGAAATGCTCCACCAGAGCCTCCTCCCATGCCATCGAATCGCTGTCGGCATTCAGGATGAAGTCGACACGCGCGGCGGTGGCACTCGTGATGCTGCCGCTGCCATCGCGCTCAATGCCACCCAGTGAGTCATCGGCGAATGCTGGAGCACCGTCGGGGAAGTTGGCCCTGTTCACAGCAACCAGGATGTCGGCTTGAGTCGTGACTGTCTGATTGAAGTCGGCAGTGGCACCGGTCCCAAAATACCGGCGGACCCCAGCATTTAAGCAGCCGGAGGGCACCTGAAGGCAGAGATTGGCGAAAGTCGCTCCATCAGTACCCGACAGTGCTTTGACATCATCAGCAATTTTGAAGACTTCGGCCATCGTCTCCAGTCGAAGAATGCTACCACCATCTTTCGCAGTGACCAGGATGCGATTCATACGGCCGCGGGCGGGGAAGTACTCTTCCGTCCACTCCAAGTCCTTCATGACCTGCGATCCTTGATCTACCCAAAGATCACGAGCTTCGTTCCTGGCCGTAAAGCGCAAAACGCCCACGGCACAGAGCAAGCAGCCCACGACGGTCACCGTCACACATTTCCAAGGATTGCGCGCGCAAGACTTGGCGACCCTGCCCAGTCCATGGGCCACTGCCTCCTCTGCCCGCGAGGTGCAGGAAAGCCAGGCTTGCAGGGGCGACATGGCACCAGCTCCTAGCCGTCTTCGCAAAGTCCAGGGATGCGTCTTTTCTGATCGAGCCGCAGGTCGTCGTTGCGAGAACAAATTTCGTTAGCTGGCCCAACCCCACAGCACGTGCAAGCTGTCATGGCAACAGCGGCTGCGTCCTTGAAGTGGGTGAGGGCGAGATGGTAGGCCTGACTCGTGGAGGATTTTTGGGGCAGCCGAGACAGAGGAAGGGGCAAAAGGGACTGAAAAAGGACCCCTTCGCCTCTTTGAGGTTCTCCTTCCAGATAATGAAGGGGAACTCGGCCCGAGTGGCAGCTTTGGCCATCTGCCAGTACTCCTCATCCTCAGGACTCGAGTCGATTGCAGCTGCCCTGAACGCTAGGCGTTCTGGGCTTGCAGGAGACATGCAATCCTGAAGCTCTGCTTGCTGCCACGCGGCAGGCATGTCCAAGGCATAGTCGACAGCACAGTGGAATGCTTCAAGGAGCATGTGGGGGGAGTCGGCATTTTGCTGACGGAAATAAACTCCCGGCATCTTGCCCAGACCACCAATGGCACAGCCCACAGAAGGGACACCAAGCAGACCGAACTCCACGTCCACATAACCTGCAGCTGCATCGCACACATCAGGGCGAGCATTTAAGACCATGCCAGAACACCAAACCATCCTTCAAGCTTTAGGGAAGCCCGTGCACAGACATGCTTGACCCAAACTGGCAACAACTTGCCTGGCAGTTGCAATACCTACTTTAGCATGGCTTCGCACGGTTTCATGGATTGACATGTTCCGAAAAGGAAAACTCTAAGCACAGCATGGACGTAATATCCTGGGCGACAGGATGAAGATGATCTTTAGAAGAGATGCTCTCGAAAGCCCGGATCTGGCCTCTACGGATGCTTGCAGGAACGAAAAGCAAAACCCCGCCACAAGCTTCAAACATATTGGGCACGGGCATGCTTTATGGGCATTTAAATTTATACTCGAGATAGACCCGCGCTGCCGTTTGGGCTAAACCCTCTTTTTCGAAAAGGGCCCCCCCTTTGTAGTTGCCGACGCCAGGGCACCGAAGGGCTCCGAGCAGGAGGGCGTAAAGCAGAGGTGTGCACCGCGGCGGAGTTCCTTTCCAAAACTGGCCCGGAGCCAGAAGGCTCATAAGGGACATGATCAGGGCAACTGTAGGGGGCTACTGGAAGGGCTACGAGAAGGGCTACGATTATGAAGCTTACCTATCAGGGCCAGGCTCCGGGTACAAGGGTTGCCATTAGAGGCTCTACGGGCTCTAGACAGGTGACTACAGCTTGACTTAAAACTGCATTTGCCATGGTGGTGAAGATCGTGATGGGATGGCGACGATGTGCATGAACATGATGACGGTGATGATGGTGATGATGATGATGCTGTTGTTGATGATGATGATGATGATGATGATGATAGTCATAGCGGTTGTGGTGGCCACGAGGTGGCGGGATGTTGGCGATGACCGTTGACAATAGTGCCAATGCCGGCAATCATGCCTTTTCATCTAACACTTACAGGGTTCAGGGATCATGGGGCAACGGGGTTCAGCTGAATGTAAACTGCATGGCAAGAGATGGTGGACAGGAGTCACGGGCCGTCCCATCGGTACGAAAGTCCTTCAAATCGGAATTCCATGGTATCCGAAAACCTCAAAGCCCCAACACTAAAACCTAAACCCTAAACCCTCGCACCCCGAATCTCAAACCCCAACCTGAAACCGGAAACCTTAGAGCCCCACACCCTTAAACACTAAGGCTTAGAGCTTAGGGTTTGGGGTTTGGGGTTTGGGGTTTAGGATTTGGGGTTTAGGATTTAGGATGTAGGGTTTAGGGTTTAAACACTAGCACCCCGAAACCACCCTCCAAAAAAAGCACACCCGGTCATTGAAACAAACACCAACGAAACCCGTAAGCCCTGTGCAAACCCTGAACCCTCGCCCAAGCCCCATACCCTAAACCCTAAACCCCTTACTCCTCTGCTTATAGGGTTTATTTTTTAGGGTTTCCCTCTACTGTATAGGGTTTAGGGTGCAGGTAGGGCTTCGGGTCTTGATCCTCTCCTGTGTGGTTCGAAAAGAACCCTGCTTTGGGGCCTTCTCAAGGTAGAAGAACTCGGTGCACACGAAAAGCCGACCTTTTGCTTCGGGCTTCTGGTCGGATGTGGGCTCTAGGAATTAGGGAAAATAGGGAGCTACCGGGTTTTTGAGTCTAGGGCTCCGTGTAGTCTTGAATAAGTTCCGGGGTTTAGGCTTCAGAGTTGGGGGCTTCGAGGCTCGAGGCGCCCGTTCCCAAGCCTCGCCTTCGAACTTCGCCTTCACTGAGACTAACATCTCCTGCGCGTAGAGGCCGAAGGGATCGTCCGGTGGACCCGCCAGGACCATCTGCACATTCTGCTGGCTCCGGAGGATCTCCTGCAACAGAGAAATCCTTCTGAGATCTCTGGAAAGGAGCTCCGAGCCTTCAGATCTCAGGATTTTTGGGTTTAGGATTTAGGGATTTTAGGGTTTAGGGTTTAGGGTTTAGGGTTTTAGGAACCCGAATTCGAGAGCATCTGCATGTGGATAAATGGATGGCTGGCTGGGTGGGTGCGTGGGTGGATGGAGGGATGGAGGGATGGAGGGATGGACGGAGGGAGGGATTAATGTATGTATATGATGTCATGTCATCTAGTAGAAGGAAACATGGTGTATTGCAACAGGATGTAATGTCAATGTATGCAACGAGGTCGTATATGTATAGACGCATACATCTATAACATGTCTATGCAGTTGTCTATGTATGTATTTGTTTATTCTTTGTTTTATACATGCGTCGGCTTGTTCTCTAGTTATCTATATTCTGAATGTTCTGCGTAGGTGTGTTTGAATTTATACATGTACATGTGTAGGTACTCGTTTGTACGTTGCAACTGTTGGGATTAGGGTGCTCAGATGCACGGAGCTGGAAAGCTGGAACCGCTTCGCTCGTTCAGTGCGGCAGGCCACCACCTTGGCACGATAAGTGGTCCTAAGTGTGTTCTTTAAAGGGTTACTATTAAGGGGTTGATTCCTACAACTGTTGCTACAAAGGTTACTAGAAGGCCTAGCATAAAGGCTACTATAAAGGATTTAGGCAGATGTCTATCGACAAAACCGGATAGCATCTGGAGTATTGGTAATGGCGGTACTGGTCGTGCTCGTCGTGATAGCAGTAGAGACAGTCGTCGTTGTCGCCCCGTCGTCCCGTCTTCGTCGTCATCGTCGTAGTAGTAGCA